ACAAAACATATTGAGATAATACATCATTTTCTAAGGGATCATATGGAAAGGGGTGACGTCATTTTCAAGCATGTTGACAGCAAATATCAACTTGCTGACATTTTTACTAAACCTCTCGCTACGGAACCCTTCTTTCACATCCGTAGGGAACTTTGTGTTATTGATATCTCGGATGGGTTGTAACTTAATTTAGTTGCATGCTTCTTATTTTATTACAAATATTTCCTTTATGTTCAATTCACTTATTAATAGTTCAGTGAAAATCTTATCAATCTTCATAAAGGTAATATTCATCCTATCTATCTCCCTTTCTTGATCATATATATATATATATATATATATATATATATATATATATATATATATATATATATATATATATATATATATATATATATATATATATATATATATATATATATATATATATATATATATATATATATATATATATATATATATATATATATATATATATATATATATATATATATATATATATATATATATATATATATATATATATATATATATATATATATATATATATATATATATATATATATGCTCATTTAGGTTATCTTCTTACTCTACATTCATTACACTGTTGATATGCATGTGTGATTTATTGTTATTTTTCCCTATTTCATGACATTCCTTCAAAAATATAGTATATTTCAAAATTTCGCAGGATGAGTCGACTCACAACAAAAGTGCGTCGATGCACTCTTATATAAACTCTTTAATTTTATTCTTTTTAACAATACGTCGATGCACAAAGTAGTTTGGTCGATGCACCTCTCGAATTTTCAAATTTGTTTTATGGTTTATATTGATTCCCTTATCCATAACTTTTCCAAAAATCCAAAAACCCTAAACTCCTCTATATCGAAAACAAAATTTCCTCTACTCCAAAATTCTCAAGAAAACTTCATCATGGCCACATCTAGGGTTGCAAAGAAGAGAACCATTAGAGGTAGTTCCTCCAATGCTCCTTCTGAATCTCCGATAAATGCTCTTTCTCTTATCTCTGATGACATTGTTGAATCTTATGAAGCCAAGTTTGGAAAAAGAAAAGTTGTTAAGCAATTCTTTTTGGAAATGACAACCTTGGGTCATTTACACCTTCCAAAGATCATTGATCTTATTATATTCCAAAATCTTCACAACTTTCTTGAATGTAAGGATAAATATAATGAAGATTTGGTTAGTATATTTTTTGCGAGCGTTCAAGGAAGTTTTAAGGATTTTGAGTTTAGGTATAGAATGAATACATGATCAGTTCTCATGTTTGGAAAGATTTGGTTCAGATGTTCCCTGTTGACTTTGATTCTATTAATATTTCTGACTCTACTGTTTCTCTTGGGTATGAATTTAAAACTGCTTTGAACTTTATGCTCAAGAAACCATACATTGAGCGGATTATAAACAGTGACCTATTTCCCAAATCCGTGACCACGGGTGCTCTAGCTCCTATTGATAGGATTTTGTTTTGGATCGTCTGCAAAATCATTCGACCCAAAAGGGGGGGTACTCTCGTGTAGAAAAGCCAGAGTTCAACTCATGTATGTACTCAAGAACAAAATTATAATTCATTGGCCATACTACTTTGCTAGCAGAATTTTCGATCTACACAAGTCTGAGAGAGGAACTGCACTATGCTATCTGTCACTTATCCAACGAGATCTCAACAGAGAGTGTATTCGGATGCCCGATATCTCCTACATAAGTTTAGGGATGGACCAAGAATTTTCTAGCAAATCTCTTACCTTAATGGGTTTTCCGTGGGATCCCCAAAGACAAAAATACAGACATGTCGTAAGAAGTCACTGTGCATAACTCAAGAATATCAATGATGAAGAGGATGAGGAAATTTATATTGAAAGTGAAGAAGAAACAAGTAATGAGAATGATGAAGATATGGAAGAGGATACTCCTACTGCTCAAAGCGACAATACTAGTGTGTTAGCCCAATTGGAAAGGATGCAAATTCAGCAAAATGAATATGCTTCCCTATCTCAAACCTCTACAATATCATCAAGGTACAAAGTGAAAAGTTTGCTTCCTATTCAGATGTCCAAGATCAAAGGTATTCAACCTTGAATGGAATGATTCAAACACATGCTAACAACTTTGCCTTCTTCCTATCCACCTTTATGCAATACCTTCAGCATCCCTCTCAACAAGGCTCTTCAACCCAAAACCAAGACCAAAACCAAGACAATAATAATTGAACTTGCTTTGTATCTTGTGTATTTTCACTTAAATCTCACTTTGCTACATTTTTTTAATGTCCTGCCTAACTCTATTTTCTTTTCTAAAAACTATTATGTGTGTGTTTAAGTACTTTTATCATTTAGTTTATATATAGTACTTTGTGTTGTCTGACTATTTATCTCATTTGTACTATTTCTCATTTTATGTGAATGGGTGCATTAAGATGCAATTTTTTTATCTTTACTATTTTTTTAACTAATCAACTGCTTTTCTCTTTTTGATGTTGTCAAAGGGGGAGAAGTGCTATGAGTGTGAAATAGACCTGCAATTTCTGAGTTCTGAAAAGTGAACTAACTCAGGGGGAGTTCTCTCTTATTATGTAAAGTTGCCGTAAGTCTTGACTCAATAATATTGTGTAGGTTTTGCCATCATCAAAAAGGGGGAGTATGTGAGGGCAAGATTCATGTTTTCATGATGTCAAAACCTCTCCTACCCTCAATGACATGTTTGGTTCTTAAAAGATACTTGGGACAAAGAGTGAAATGCAAGACTAGATGAAAATACTCTTTTTGGCAGGAAAAACAAAGACTGCGTCGACACAAAACTGGTTCTGGTCGACTCAAACCTGTGTGTTTCTCCCTGAATGTGTTTCACCGACCCCTTGGTCAACTCAACCTGTTTATCAAAGAAAATTGAAGTTTGCATCGATTAAACCCCCTGGTGCGGTCGACACATTTAATCTGTTTGGCTCATGTTCTTGACGCGGGTTGTGTTGCACCGACCCAAGACTTTGGTGTCGTCGACGCATTCAACATTTTTAGATCATCTCCTTGGCACGGGTTGTGTTGTGCCGACCCAAAGCTGTGAAGCGGTCGACCGCTCACTTAAAATTCTCAAAATTCTGTTTGTCTCATTTTCTTTTTTTCTCGGATATTATTGGTTTTTCACTAACACATATAAATAGAGTTTAGATTTATTTTGAGCAGTTAACAAGAACTAGTGAAAGATACACATAGTTCTCATCATCTTCATCCTCTCTTCTCAAAAATCAACATCTACACATAATCATGGTTGTTGATTCAAGAAAATTGTTGTGGTGATAACATTCAAATCAAGGATTCAATTCAGATTTGGGTTGAGCAATTGTGGGTTGTTCTTAAATAAAATCGTTTGGATTTTCTCCTCTAAGATTCCTATTGGTGCGGGGGGTTTTGCACAAGTCTTTGCTTCATTGGATTCAGTCGAGTGAAAGGATTAAGAAACGGTGGGTTTGCTTAATCAAGTAGCCGTAACCGGAGGACTGTGAAGATTGATTTGGGGTCAAATTGCTTGCGATCAAAATCAGCCGAGTGAAAGGATTAAGAAACAGTGGGTTTGGTTAATCAAGTAGCGGTAACCGGAGGTTTGTTCAAAGAATTTGGCACTTGGTTTTGCTCAAACCAAGGAAAGGGAAAAAGGTTGTTACATCAGCAACATTGGTTTGTTTGTATTGTGAACTATCTCTTCTCTTGTAACATTTGCAACTTAATATCAAGTATCTCAATTCTAGATTCTTGAATTAGGGGAAGACCTACCCTACGCGAGGACGAAAAGGGGAACTGCCTTAACAAATCACGTGTGCTTCTGTTTTTTCTTTATCTCTATACTTGATTACTTTACAGTGTGAAAATTAATTTGTCAAATCTGCATATACTGAAATTTTGGCGTGTTAAGTTCATTTCAAAACATTTGTAACAATCCTTTTGATTGATACCTAAGAAAACTCACCACTACAATTTAGTAAAATCAAACCTAAGTTGCTTTGCCCATAAGGTGTTTATCAAATTGACTTATCCACAAATTATTCATTGTGTTTAGCTTTATCTCATTTAAATCATCGGAAGTAATTAATATTCATTGAGGGTGTATAAGTGATTGATCAATTGATTAAAACGCATTGATTCTTACTTTGTCATTATATCCCATACGGTTACGCATATCCGATCTTTTCAATAGAGGATCGTTTAGACTATTGGAGATTCCGGGAAGCTTTCGCATATTTTTTTGAAAAACAATTTTAAAAAGCGCAAATTATTTTAAACGATCTATTCAACCCCCAGTCTAGATCAATCACATCGTCTAACAGAAAGATGGAAAAACTCTATTACTAATTCACCAGTGTGGATCCTATTGTGTTCGAGGAGATAATCGAAGAGGAAACAACCAAAGGAACATGGGACAAGTTAAAGAACTTGTACGACGAAGATGAAAAATGAAGAGGGTGAAGTTACAGATGTTGAGAAAACAATTTGAGATGACTCATATGAAAAAAGATGAATTAGTCTCGAAATACCTTTCACGTGTGCTGCTGCTAACAAACCAGATTAAGGCGTGTGGTGAATCGATCACTAGTTTGTAAAATATTGAGAGTAAAATATTGAGAAAGTGTTGAGATCTATGATAGCAAATTTCAAATACATTGTAGTGTCAATTGAAGAATCCAAGAACCTAGCTAAGATGAAGTTGAAAGAACTTCAAGCTTCGTTATAGGCTCGTGAGATAAGGCTGAAGAAAAGAAACTCAGAAGGGAAAAGATGACTGAACACGCACTGCAAGCAAGATTCACCCGAAATTTGGAAAAGAGAATGCGAAGAAAGGAAATAATTTTTCTAACAACGAAAACTCAATCAAGAATTCAAAGAATTGTCCTGGTTTGACCAAGAAAGGCATGGGCAACAAGTATTCAGGGAAGAAAGTTGACATGCAGGAGACTATCAAGGATTTGGCCATTATGCTCGAGACTGTCAAAGAAAGAAGGAAGCTCGAGCGAAAGATAGTGACCAAGTGCAATATGCACATGCTGGAGACAATGATTCTAATGATGTGCTACTCATGGTCAACATTATGCCAAACACTGAGCAAACCAACATGTGGTACCTGGATTCAAGATGCAATAATCACATAACTTGTAATAAAAATTGGTTCACCAAGCTAGATGAATCATATGAGAATGTGATAAAGTTTGCAGATGACAGGCACATCACATCAGGTGGAAAAGAAGATGTCTTTGTTGTGAGAAAGGATGGTCAAAAATCCAACATCATAGATGTGTTATATGTCCCTTCGATGACAAGTAACTAGATAAGTGTACATCAATTACTTGCATAAGGGTACAAGATGAGACTTGAAAATTGTCAGATAAAGGTGTATCATGGTGATGGAATGTTATTTTGAAGGCACTATTTTCAAAGTTGAGATCACCATAATTGATCACAAGTATCTTGCTTCGACTATAGAAGAAGACAAGAATTGGCTATGGCATCACTGGTATGGGCATCTAAACTTTAGAAGTTTATGAATGCCCAACCAGAAGAAGATGGTGTATGGCTTAACTCAGGTGAAAGAACCAAGTGAGGTGTGTGAGGAATGATGCAAAGCAAAGCAGGATAGAAAAGAATTCAAGCATGACTTGCCCTTGAAGTCAAAAGAAAAGTTGCAACTTGTTGATTTTGACGTGCGTGGACCTTTTGAAGTTAGGTCGAATTGAGGTAATTGTTACTTTCTATCTTTCATCTATGAGTTCACCAAATATGTGTGGATTTATTTGATATAAAGGAAGAGTGAGGTATTCACATAGTTCAAGAAGTTTAAGTTGCATGTCGAGAAGCAAAATGGATGCAAGCTGAAGAAACTGAGAACTAATGGTGGTGGCGAATAACCCTATCGAGAATTTTCTAGACTTTGTATTGAGGAAGGTATAAAGCATAATGTTATTGCATCTTATACACATCATCACAATGGTATAGCTGACAAGAAGAATCAAAGTATAATGAATATGATCAGGAGCATGTTGAAAGATAAATATATGCCCAAAAGATTATGGGGTGAAGCAACTTCGACAATAATATACATTCTTAACAGATGTCTAACGAATAAGATGGTCGAGAAAACACCTTATGAGGCATGGATAGGGTTAAATCCAAATGTAAATCATCTAAGAGTCTTTGGACCAATGTGTTTCAGGCATATTCCTAAACAATTGAGGACAAAACTAGTTGATCGAAGTCAGGTCATGGTGCTCATAGGTTATCATTCAAATGGTGCACATAAGTTGTATTCACCAAATGATGATAAACTAGTGATCAGTCGAGATGTTCTAGCAGACAAAAGCAAAGAGTGGGATTGGAGTCATGGGTCAATTCAACGGGAGTCAAATACATTCACAGCTGTGTTTGAAGAATACGAACAAACTAAAGTCACAATCAATCAAAATGAAGGACCACCTGAGAAAAATGTCAGGAGATCGATTATAATGAGAACTGAGTCGATAAGGCTAATTGGATATGAGAGATTTCCAGATCAAGCAGTCGACGCAAATTAATAGAAGAAGCAACGATGATGGTTGAAGCAGAACCAATCTATTTGGATCAAGCCATGAACTATTCAACGTGCAACCATGAAATAAGAACTCAGGGCAATCGAGAAGAACAAGAACTGTGAACTTGTCAAAATGTCAATCAAGAAGCCAATCAATGTGATGTGGGTATACAAGCTGAAACGAAAGCTAAAAGGTGAAATTGCCAAGCATAAGGCAAGACTAGTGGCGAGAGATTTTCTATAAAAACTTGGTATTGATTTAGACGAAGTCTACACACTTGTTGCAAGGCTAGAGACAATCAGATTGTTGTGTCGACAACAGCATACAGAGGTTGGAAGATACATCAGTTGGATCTAAAGTCAGTTTTTCTAAATGGACCTTTAGAAGAAGAAGACTATGTCAATCAACCACCAAGATTCAAAATCAAAGGGCATGAGTCAAATGTGTATATATTGAGGAAGACTCTATATGGCTTGAAACAAGCCCCGAGGGCTTGGAACAAGAGAATATATTGTTTCCTGATTGAAGCAAGTTTCATAAAGTGTGTCTCTGAACATGGACTATATGTCAATAATGCTGACAGGGCCAGTCAAATCATTTCATACCTGTATGTCGATGATTTGTTTATCACAAGTACAAATGAAACATAGATAATAAAAGTCAAGTCGAAGTTGATGCAAGAGTTAAAAATGTCTGACCTAGGGATTTTTTCATAGTTCTTAGGGGTGGAGTTCAAAGACACGAGTGAAGGAGTGTTCTTGCACCAGAAGAGGTATGCCCAATATATCTTGAAGAGGTTCAAGATGAGCAACTGAAATGCAGTTGCCACGCCATTAGAAATTGGAGAAAAGTTAAGGAAGGAGACGAAAAATGAGTTTGTAAGTGCGACACTGTACAAAAAAATCATTGGATCCTTGAGGTATCTTTGCAATACCAGGCTAGATATCTTCCAAAGTGTCGGATTGTTGAGCAAATTCATGGACTAACCCCAAGAATGTCATTTCGTTGCACTAAAAAGAGCGTTGAGATACAATAAAGGCACGATTGATCATAGTGTGCTGATGCCAAGACATAAGAAGACCATCACAAAAACAAAAGTATATGACTACACTGATTCCGACTTCAGTGGAGATCAAGATGATATAAAGAATATTGTAGGCTATATATTCATGATCGAAGGTGCTCCAATCTCTTAGAGCTCAAGGAAGCAAAGCATTGTGGCTTTGCCATCATGTGAAACGAAGTACGTAGTTGCATCATTTGCAGTGTGTCAAGCAGCATGGACAGAAATGTTGCTCGAAGAGCTCAAGATTATGGAACCTAAGAAAATGAAGTTGTTTGTCGGTAACAAGTCAACTATCGACCTGGTGAATCATTCAGTGTGTCATGGTCGAAATAAACACATAGAGATGATGTATCATTTTCTGAGGGATCAAGTTAACAAATGGATGCTTGAACTTTAGCATTACAAGACATAATGACAATTAGCTGAATACTCATCAAACCCCTAAAAAAAAGTCAGGTTTGACGAGTTGAACAAAAACATTGAGATGAAAAGTCTCAAAAACATGAATTAGGTGGTGTGTTAGAAATTGTGATTTAATATTTTGTATTCGACAGACAGCATGTTCGATAGGTCCGAAGTAGTTAGTCGAATTATATGATATAACATTTAAATTGTTGCGTCGAAACTAAAATATAACTTATATATTTTAGACTTGAATTGTTATTTTAGACTTAGATGGATTTATATAGTTTTTGGTCAAAGTATTAATTACCTATATAAGACATGTTATATTTAATATGTTAATATAAATAAGTTATTAAAAATAAATATTAATTCTTTATTATTATTTGAATGAATTAGAATTTAAATATTTTATACTACAACCAATATTATAAGTACATCCTCGCCCTTCTTTTATGACTAATACTCAAAAACTAATGTTTTAATTTTAGTATATAATTTTCGTAGGTTTATCTAAAATTTTAGTTTGAAGACAGTTGATGTGATATTGAATCTTATAAAGAAAAAAATGGGATTTTTTTGATTCGGAATAGAAGTTAATATTTTTAATAGCTTTAAATAAAATAATTTTTAAGACAATGTAATCATATCAAATAATAAAAAATTTCAATAGTTTACAACATTTTTTTTTGGAAGTGTAATCATATCAGACTAGATATTTTTGGCAGACTAGACATTATCCAAATGCCCTCATATTCTATTTCTTTACACCATTTTATGTATTTGATTACACCATTTTTATTTTTTTAAATATTTTTTAATTATATTTTTGAAAGAGAAAAAGTACAAAATAGTAATTAATATTACCGTACGTACCTGGAACTGCCATATTCATAGAGTTTCCCAGTTGTTGAGAAAATAATAAGACCAACTTCAGCATCACACAACACTGATAACTCCTCAGCTTTCTTGAAGATTCCTCTTCTTCTCTTTGAAAATGTTACTTGTCTTGCTGTTGCATTGTCTATTTTCTTTATCTTTATCTTCTGCCTAGCCATTGATTAATCTTTCTCTACTACATTCAAAATAATCAAACTCTTTTTCATTATTTCATTCACCTAATAATAATACATGTAGATTTATATATGATGTAAAATAATCAACCTAAATTGACCAAAACCCTAGTTTCAGATCTGGTGAATAATATAAGAAATCATGTATGAGAGGAAATATAAACAAAAAAAAAAGGAATTTGATTTGGATGAGAAATGAATGAATAAATATAATGATGTTGGTAATAGTAGAAAGAAAATATGAAGGATTTGAGAGGAAGAAAAGGAAAGGATATGGAAAGAAAGAGAAAACCTGATTAGAATGGTGTGGCTGAATTTTCAAGAAAGGAAAGGGGGTTTCTTCCCAAATATAGCGAATAAAGAATCTTACTTTCCTTCTTTGTTACTTACATAAATATCTTCTGACATTTGTACGACATTTTGTTTTGTGCTTACCTAAAAAGTCTCGAATAATTCAATACGTCAAAAACTATAAATTCTATCACAACTTGTTTTTCTTTTAATAAAAAATGAATCATATTTCAACTTATATATATATAACAAAAAGTTCTTATTTAAAAATATCAAATCAAGTAAATATTTTTTAAACTAATAATTGTATTTAATATTATTATCATATAAACTACTTATACAAATTTTACATTAATTTATTATTATTTCATATGTCATTGAGATTAGTCAAAATTACCATAAATGAAGACAATTTTAAGTTCATGCGAGCTAGAGAACCATGCTAAATTCAAATTAGTGGTTGAGAAGAATAATGTGCAAGCTAACAAATGATTTTCATTGGAATTAGTGGAGGTTGATGGAGTGTCTGTTTGGACCGACAGTTGATAGAATTTGTTTTAATTAAATTGAATTTTATAAAATTGATTTTAATATAATTGAATTTAATAAAATTAATTTATATTTGAATACATTTATGTAAAAGTGAATTGAACAATAAATTTTAATATAAAAATATTCAAAATCAATTTTAAAAGCAGAAATTATAAATTCTAACTTACGTAAAATCAATTATAAAAATAGAATCAATTTTACTTTAACATAACTAAATATATTAAAATCATTGTAGAATCAATTATACACTCTAGAAGTTTTATCAGCCTTACTTGAATTGAAACCAAACATAAGTTAGAAAATGAAGGTGAAGGGAAAGGCATTCTGATAGAAGTTATTCCTCTTAAAGTCTTATTCGTGTGTTGTTTATTGTTGTTTCGAGGAGATAAGAGTTACCAAGGGTCCTTATAAGCATTGATGGCCTCCAAAACTTTTGACATTGGTGGAGGTGTTCTTTCTACCAGAACCTCATGTTATTCAGGGGTTGACAATTGATCAGTTTGAATTGAAATCGGGTTAAAGTTTAAATTCGACATAAACCGTGATTTTATTATTAAGATTCAATTTCGATTGATAAAATTTTAGTATTTGACGGATTCGGTTTTATCGATTTGATAGATAAATTTAGAGGTGTTCAAAACTAAATTGACCCAATAGAAAATCGTAAAACCGAACCAAACCAAATCGAAATCACAAAAAATCGCATTTAGTTCGGATGTGTTTGGGTCATTTTCTCACAGAACCGTACGGTTCGGTTGGTTTGCGGTTTGTATTTTACAAACCAAACCAAATCAAACAAAACTGCATTATGTTATAAAATCTTACTAACCAATATATATTTCTTTAATTCTTTAGAGAAATCAACATATATTATGTGTATATTTTATCATACTTTATATTATATTCATTTTAATTTACAAATCATAAAAAAATAAAATATTATTCATTTATAAATACTATTTTCACAAAATATATTTTATCATATTTTTTGTATAATATTTATTTAAGAATACAATCTTGTTTATATCATTCGTTAGATTTAGATAAAATTATAGTACGCAATTTTATGTATCAAATTATAAATTTATTTTGATAATTATAATTTTTTTTATGGTAATGTATGAACAATTAAACACAAAATTATATTTTCCTCTATATTTGTATGTATGACTTAATAAATTTTTTTGTAAAAAATCGAACCAACCGAATCAATCCAAACCGCATTAGTTTGGTTTGGTTTGGTTCGGATTTATTTTTAAAAGCCAATCGAACCGCATGTTTTTTTCTCTTGCGGTTCGGGTGATTTTTTGCTTCAAAATCGCACCGCGAACACCCCTAGATAAATCATATGAGTTTGATCGATTTAATATTTATTAGGATAAATCTATAAAACTGACTCATCTTTTTTAAAATTCACAAATATTTATCTTTTAATATTATTTTTAAAAAAACTATCAAAATTTTAAAATAACTCAAAAAAGAATAATTTTTTATTATTGAAAAAAATGTTATTATCATGTTATAACATTTCAAATATCATTTTATATTAATTTTTTCATTATCATATTTTAAACAACAAATTAAATAACACTCAATATAATAAATTGCAATCTTCATGATTCTATTTTAAACTAATACATTTTTTAAAGAGGTGTCTAAGGATGTATATAAGGCTCTACATAGCAGAAACACAATTCACCTATTTCTAAAAATCATTTTTACTCGATTCGAACACATTTTCTAGGTGTTCATTCATTCATCTTTAAGTCTTGAAATTGTTTGCATAACTTTCAAATCATTCAAAATTTTCTTAAAATATTCTAAGCACTTATCATATATATGTTTGGATTGTAATATACAAAAAGAGAAGAATAATTTATACAACTTGGAATCAAACCAAGACCAAGTTTATTCAAAATTATTCAACGTGTGTTATGACTTAATCATCAAGTTTGTGATGATAAGTTGTTGTAAAAAGAAAATAGATTTCTTTCTTTTGCGTATGTATTAGAAGGTTATAAGAAAGTACCGGTGAAGACATGTACTAGGATCTAATCATAGTGAAAAATCCTCTGAGTATAGGGACTAAACGTGCTCTTAATTGATAAGGAGAACTAATATAATTTGTGTGTGTCCTTTATCTTTATATTTTTTTGGCACTTTACATTCATATTAAAATAGCAATCAATCATGTGATTCTGGTAAAATCATAAATTAAGAAACTTTGCATAGAAAAACAAGAAAAACCTATCAAATCTAAATCACCCCTCTTAGATTGCCTCTCATAATTACAGGTCTAGGTGACACGAAGAGTCTTTGAGTTCTGGACAATTCGAGGATGACTTGTAGAGGTTGAAGCAAGATGAAGTCTCTTTGAGTTCCGGAGATAAGATTGTCATATAATATTTCCATGAGTTTTTTATTCTAGTTGCATCCTTTTCATGATAAGGGTTTGTCAACTCAAATGCCTTTCTAGACTGAAGACATAAATTTAGGGGTTTCAAACATTTAGTTTTCCATCGTCGCATGTTAGATGTTTTAGAGGTCATTAAGTGTGTTACATCCTCTTATGATTGTTGTGTTTTATTTTTATGTGATTATGAACTATTGGATCAATATGCATGTTTTCATTCTTTTCGGTTCACTAATTCAATATATAAACTATCAATTTCTATTTTTTGGGGAGTTATTTCTTCAATTATTGGAACTCTACATTTGTTTCACTTCTTTTTTTCATTTCCTCTTTGTTTTTATTTGGTGTTTCTTTCTTTGAGAAAGGTTCATAGTTGTGATCAAATAAGCTCTATGTCATCTAGCTCGCTATAATCATCTTTTTCAAGAGGTTATTTGATACATTTTAGATCTTCCATTTTTTATACTATTTTCTGCTTTTTGTATCTTTAGTCATAGATAGTGGTTTTTCTTGCCACTGTTAGTGGTTTGAACTCTTAATAAACTATAACCAAACTGAGTACAATTTGTACGGGAAACCGCCGACGACTAACATTCAATGACACGTTCAAGGATCGAAACTAGATATAACGTTCATTGACCCAATAGAATCTGATTCTTTAGAATCTCCTATCAGGATTTCTCATAATAACCGCAGCCATTATCTTCTTGAGATCATACCTTCACTCAGTCTCTCAAGGAACCTTACAATGATTTGTTCAGTGATCCAATTGGATATAACAATCATTGACCCAATAGAATCTGATTCTGTAGAATCTTCTATCTGTTTTTACAAGGTTTGTTTACAAAATAATGCTTATACACAAGCAAGGTTAAACTCAATTAATTACATAAGAAGATCCTAAAACACACTAAAAACATTATATTATATTGTAGCTTTAATGTGGGATCTTCTTTTCTTCAAGTAGTTTATTCACAAACAACAACCCAAAGCACTTGAATTGATGAACTCTTCTTCTTCATAAGCTTCTGAAAGCTTTGTTTATCTTTATTTAGTAAAGAGAAAAACGTCTTCATATTGATTCATCTTAGAACATTCTAGACAGTAACCCTTGTTCTATTTAATTTAATGATCACTTTAAAGCACAACATTCATGTTGTGGATTTTTAATTAGAGCTTCCATGATCATCTCATTATCTTCTGCGGCATAGCAAGCTTCTTGCAGTATATGAAATTAAGCATATTCTAAATCAATGACTTCATTGTTATCTTGTAATCATCAACAACATGATTCAAGAATCATTTTGATAACATTTGTTCTTGTTGTTGTTATAATGGTTGATCGTTTTTATTTGTGTTCCAATAATGACAACTTTCATTTGAAAATTGAACACACACAACATTTTAAGAATATGATCCTTTTCTTATATATCCAAGAAAAATAGAGTCGTTGGCTATTGAAAAAGAGTCGTTACACAATGATGAAAATAGTACTGCCACATTTTTCTTTTCCATAATTCAAGCTAGTGGAGAGATAATGGTATAAGAATTTTCGTACTGTGTACATGTTATTGCTAACGGTAACATTTGTATTTTGAACTTCATAGGCTTCTGATGGCAGATGATTGAAGCATGAGTAGAATCGTGACATTTGAATCTCCAGATAATCAAGTCTTCAGTCGTCAGAACTTGTTCACTCAGAACCTTGTCTTTGAAACTTCAGCACTTA